TTTTTTACTACCAGTTCTGTGGGTGTAGCTTGGTGGGCATAGCATGGCTTGTTGGGCATGGCAGGGGAAGGATACTGTAAAATCCTCATTTTCCACCGCACTCCAGGGGAAGGATATACTGCAAAATCCCCATTCCCTCCTCACCCCACCAATCTGCTTTCCAGCTCCGTTCTCCTGTGCAGGGCAACCAAAGGAGACCCAGCCGATCAGCTGGGACTCAATGGGAGGCAGAGAATAGATGGGGTTGGCGGGGCCAGTCAGAGGTGGGATTTGCCGGTTCTCCAAACTACTCAAAATTTCCGCTACCGGTTCTCCAGAACCGGTCAGAACCTGCTGAATTCACCACCTCTGATGTGAATGGATCTCTCTAAAGAGAAACCTCTAGAAGCAAACCTGGGGATGTTAGCTCAAAGCTCTCTCCGCACAAAACCGCTTTTTAATTTCACCACCGTCCTTTTCCAAAACAAACAGCTTTTTCCTGTAAGGTGTGCGGCTGGTTGTCCAGTCCTGGAACTGCCAGGGCAATAGTACTTCCTTCCCTCTTTCCTTCCTCTCCGCTTCCTAAAGTTGTATTTTGTTAGGGTTCTGTTTTGTTTTTTTTTCCAAAAAGAGGATGCACCTCTCCCGAGGACAGAGCCAGGTGGCCGAAGTCGAAGTGAGGCAGGGCTGAGAGCCATCATGTCAGTGAGATGGCGAGGGTTCGCTTGCCAAGGTCAGAGTTTTGTTTGGGGTATTTGAGGTAGGTTTGGCTGAAACGCTCTGCTTTCTTGGTAATGTTTCTTCTCTTTTGGGATGCGACCAATTGTAAGGTCTGCGGACTATGAAGCCAGAATGAAAATAAAGCTCTGAGCCAAATTATTATGTGCACATCACCTTGTTGGCTGTCCCCTCATCTGAGAGGCTTGCTGTTATGGCAACAACTCTATTTGTTGTTGCTGTTGTTAATTTTGGAATTATTTCTTTTTAAAAAAAAAAAAAGAATAATGTTTTCAGAGTCACTGGAATACTTATGTAAATTGGTGCTCTCTGAGCTTGGTGGGTTTTTTTTTTTGCAGACATTTCATTATCAAACTAGGTAACATGGTCAATGCTAGAAGGGAATGGAATTGGGTGGGGGGAGGAGGAAGACAACTGTGGGGTCCTTGGTGCTCTCGGAGCTTGGTGGTTTTCTTGCAGACATTTTGTTACCAAACAAAGTAATATATTCAGTGCTAGAAGGGAGTGAAGTTTGCTTGAGAGGAGGAGGAGGATCTCTGAGCATGGTTGTTTTCTGGCAAACACTTTATTACCAAACTAGGTAGCATCATCAGTGCTAGAAGGGAATGGGGTTTGCAGAGGAGGAGGACCGTGGGGCTCTTAGTGTTCTCTGAACTTGGTTGTTTTCTGACAGACATTTGATTACCAAACTAGGTAGCATCATAAGTGCTAGTGATAGTACCTAGTTTGGGTAATGAGCCATGGTGGCGCAAGTGGTTAAAATGCAGTATTTCAGGCTAACTTTGCATTCCCACAACCAGGAGTTCGATCCTGACCATCTCGAGGTCGACTCAGCCTTGAGTCCTTCCGAGGTTGATAAAACGAGGATCCAGATTGTTGGGGGCAAGTGGCCGACACTGTAAACCATTCAGAGAGTGCTGTGAAGCACCGCCAAAGCACTATATAAGTCTAAACACTATTTCTATTGCTATCGCTCTTGGTAATGAAACGTCTGCAAGAAAGCCACCAAGCTGAGAAGGCAACGAAATCAAACCCCATCTTCAGTGCACATCATGACCATGAAAATAAACACAAGCACACATCCTTCACAGTCCACACATTGAATTGAAAATCACCAACACTGCACCAACACTGCACTATACAGTAGAATTCAAAAGAGCTACTGCTGGGATAGAAGCTGTTTTTCAGCCTATTTTGTCCTTGTTTTTATTATCATCCTGTACCGTCTGCCAGATGGTAATAGTTCAAAAAAAAAAAAAGGGGTGCCCAGGATGAGATGGATCTTTAAGAATGTTTTGAACTTTCTTAAGGCAGTGAGAGCTATAAAGCTCTCCCAAAGAGGAGAGAAGGCAACCCATGATCCTCTGGTCAATGACATTAACCCTCTGGAGCGCTTTCCTAGCTGCCATGGTGCAATTGGCAAACCATACAGGGTGCAGTAAGTTAAAGATACACTCTTATGATGCAGCATTAGAAGGTCACCAGCTGTTTTTCGTTCAGTTGTTGTTGTCTCAGGTAGTATAATCTCTGCTGGGCCCTTTTGACCAGGGATGCAATGTGAGCATCCCAGGTCAGGTCCTCTTTTAGGGTAACACCCAGAACCTTAAAACTGGCCACTTGCTCCACTCGGTCTCCATTGATAAGCAAGGGCTGGAGGTCTGATCTGTTCCTTCTATAGTCCACTATAAGCTCCTTGGTCTTATTGGTGTGGAGGATCAAGTAATTGTCTCCACACCACGAAAGCAACCGGTCCACCTCATTTCGGTAGGCAGACTCATCCCCCCCAGGAGATGAGTCCCACCACCGTTGTTCATGTCCATTGCATTGATGATGCTATCTGTCTGCCTTCCTTTTCTCCTTTTTTGCCTTCCATCTTTCCCAACATCGGGGTCTTTTCCGGTGAGTCCCAAAGAGGCTTCTTTTCAAGAGGCAACCGGATGTTCTGTTTGTTTTTTTTTGTCTTTGAAGACGTTTTGCTTCTCACTCAAGAAGCTTCTTCAGCTCTGACTGGATGGTGGGGCATGGAAGGATTTACACTCCTTGCAGATAGCTGGTCATTTGCTTCCTTTTTAGAGAGTCGTTGAGGCCACTTGGAGGTTTCTCTGTGTTCTCGGGTCACCTGAGTAGTGCAAATGTGACTACAACACAGTCCTTTCAGCAGTTCCAAGAAGGCTCCACACACCCATTTGCACGACTCATCTGAGGACCCAGATAAACCTCCAAGTGGCCTCAACGACCCTCTAAAGGATGCAAATGACCAGCTGTCTGCAAGGAATATAAATCCTTCCCTTCCCCACTTTCCAGTCAGAGCTGAAGAAGCTTCTTGGATGAGAAGCAAAACGTCTTCAAAGAAAAAAACCAGAACCTCCAGTTGCCTCTTGGGACAGCAGGCCTGGATGACTGAGAATCTCTGTGGACATTTCTCTTCCCTTCCCTTTGCTCTTCTGCTTTTCAGACCTCAGGCTCAATCCTGGGTCTCACCATGGCCGCTTTTCATAGCATTGCATGAAAAATTCTAACTTCAAGTTTCTCTCTCTCTGTCTCTCTCTCTGTCTCTCTCTCTCTCCCTCTCCCCTTTCCACTCCCAGCGCTGAGGATTTCAAGGTTCAGCTTGCATAACAGGTAACAGCAGGCATTTCCTTCTCCTGTGTCGGGAAATCCTGGCGCCCTTCTGTCTCTCTCTGACTGTGTTTAAAACAGACTGTAGCCTAGGCAAAAAAAAGAAAAAAATTATATCCCTAGTCTAAAATTAGCAGCCGTGATAGAAGAAAGGCGCATGGCTGCCCTCTTGTACTGTTTGTCAATGAAACAACAAATCTAAACCCAGCCAAAATGCATTTCCCCTTGGCGAAAAAAACAGAGGAGCCGAGCTCGGACAGCGGACAGGCGGGCAGAGCAGCGGGAAGAGACGTTCAGGCTGCTTTTGATGGGAATGAGTAGGGAAATGGAGGCAGGATTTTCTAGTAATACAGAATAAAAGAGTTGGAAGGGACTTTGGAGGTCTTCTAGCTCAACCCCCGGCCCAAGCAGGAGACCCTATACCATTCCGGGTCCATCGTTGTCCAAGCTCTTTTTTTAAAAAAACAGAGCTGTCGGTAGCTCACGGCTGTCTGAATTTCACCCAAGATTCAGGGCAGTGGCAACTGGTTGTACTGCACAGGCAGTCCTCAACTTAATGACCACTGTCGAGCTGCAAATTTCCCTCGTTATGCAGGACAGCGGTTGAGTGAGTTTGGTCCCATTTGATGTCCTTTCTTGCCACCGTTGTTAAGTGAATCGTTGCAGTTGTTAAGTTAGGAAGGCGGTTGGTAAGTGAATCAGACTCCCCCATTGGCTTTGCTTGTCGGAAGGTCACAAAATGGGATCACACGACCCCGGGACACTGCAACCGTTGTAAATAGGACAGGGAGATAGAGAAAGAGAGACAGAGACAGGGACAAAGAAAGAGAGAGAAAGAGAGACAGAGAGATAGAGAAAGAGAGAGACAGTGAGACAGAGAGAGAAAGAGAAAGAGGTAGAGAAAGAGAGAGAGACAGAGAGAGAGAGAGACAGAGAAAGAGAGAGAAAGAGAGACAGAGACAAAGAGAGAAAGAGAGACAGAAAAAGAGAGAAAGAGAGAGACAGAGACAAAGAAAGAGAAAGAGACAGAAAGAGAGAGAGAGACAGAGACAAAGAAAGAGAGAGAAAGAGAGACACAGAGAAAGAGACAGAGAAAGAGAGACAGAGAGACAGAAAAAGAGAGAAAGAGAGACAGAGACAAAGAAAGAAAGAGAGAGACAGAAAGAGACAGAAAGAGACAGAGAAAGAGAGAGAGAGAGAGAGACAGAGAGAGACCGAGACAATGAAAGAGAGAGAGAGAAAGAGAGAGACAGAGAGACAAAGGAAGAGAGAGACAGAGACAAACAGAGAGAAAGAGAAGCAGAGCAAAAAGAAAGAGAGAGGGAGAGAGAGAAAATAGCCTCACAGTACGAGCAGTGCTCACAGCAACCTAGAAACACACTGATTTATCTTGAAAAAAGAAGAAAAAAATTCCTGGCCACCGATGCTCTAGAGGAACGCCATCATTCCACTGAAGTTCTCCCCTCCCTCCCTCCTTCCATTTTTATTTTTGAATGGAGAAGGAATGGGGGCCCATACATCATCCACCGCGGCTGTAGTTATGGAAAGGGATTCCTACCAACGTGTGCCACGCTTCCCCCTCACCGGAAAGTGTTTGAAACGGGGGAGCCCTTGGTTTCTCCCAGGCGAGGCCCTTTTCGGCTCCCGCAAGCGAAGGTACTCACTGGCAAGCTGGAAGACGGCGGCGATGGCTTCTTCCCACCACTGGGTGTCCTGGGAGAGGATGGGCAGTTCCACCAGTCCCAACACGAAGAGGAGCTGACCGGCCGTCAGGGCGACGGTGGCGATCAGGTTGCAGGCCCGCATCATGTCGAATTGCACTGGAACGACGGGAGAGAGAAAGAAGGCAGGTTCACTTCAAGACCGTGTTGCTAGCTTATAACAGCCGGAAGGATTTGCTCAACAACGGTGGCAGGGAAGGGCGGTAAAATGGGGCAAACCTGAAGCTCAACAACCGTCTGGCTTGGAAATTTTGGGCTCGGTTGTGATCGTCATAAGTTGAGGGCCGCCTGTGTGGTAAAACCCAGTTGGCGCTGACCTGATATTGGGGGACAAATTCAAAGGGCTATACGCTACCCGCCGATCTTTTCAAAGGGGACCATCAGCAGGCCACAGTGTGCCAACCCTATCCGTTTGTACTGGTGTCCTCTGACTTCCAACAAATGGAAGGATTGACAGTAAGAAGAGCGGAGCGGATATAACAAACGTCCAGAATACTATTACAGATACACTGGGATAAACAATTGAGTCTATAATTAAATCACTGCAAACAGCAGCCTTTGGGATGTGAATCGAATCTTGGGTAACCTGGCCAATGGGCTACTGAAGAATTCTACTATTACGACTACTACTACTACTGTTGTTGTTGTTGTTGTTGTTGTTGTTGTTGTTATTATTATTATTATTATTATTATTATTATTATTATTATTAGACACAAAAAACGACCGTGTAACCGTGTACACAGCAAACGAGATGACTATGCTGGGTTTGGTATCACAAATCACTAGTCAAACACTTCCCAAGCATTTAGAACTGCGTGATGTATCGGCGGATTATGTGAGCAGATCCCAGTAAGGTGGCCTTCTGCAGCTGATCAATGGTGATTTTGTCAGCACCAATTGTTTCTAAGTGCTTGCCGAGGTCTTTATGCACAGCATCCAGTATGCCAAGTACCACTGGAACCACCTGCACTGGTTTATGCCAGGGTCTCTGCAGTTCGATTTTCAAGTCTTGATAACTGATGATTTTTCAAGTTGTTTTTCATCGATTATTATTATTATTATTATTATTATTATTATTATTATTATTTTATTCTTTCTCACATTTTTACAAATCTTGATCTTAACATTAATGGTACAGTGACATCATTATTACATATACTAATCTCATATAAATATATACATTTATATGTATTCATATACATTTGTCTACAATTTTCTTACCCCTATTATTCTTATTTCTATCGTTCGACCATTCGTACCAATTGTCCCAAACTTTGTAATAATCTGTCTCTTCTTTATCCTTTAATTTTAACATATGCTTATTCATTTCAGCACAATCTAAATTTTTTTGAGTTACTAATTCCTCTGACAGGCGTGTTATCTTGTTTCCAGCATTGTGCAAATGCTATCCTTGCTGCTGTCAGATAACAGATAATCAGAGTTGGAAGGGACCTTGTAGGTTATCTAGTCCAACCCCCACCCCACCCCAAGTGGGAGACCCTACACCATTTCTGATAAATGGCAGTCCAATCTTTTCCTGAAAGTCTCAAGTGTCAATATATGTAGTAGAATATATTTAATCTTTTTACTATATATTCCTTTAATTATTCCCAGCAAGAACAATTCCAGTTTAAACTCTATCCGATCTTCCACTGTTTCTTGAATCCAACTCCATATTTTGGTCCTGAAGAATTCTAAGCGTGCCATAAGCCAAGTTATTCTCTCCCTGTGAAGTCTTGTAGGAACTAAAGCGTTGGATTACTAAGGATAACTCAGGGATTGCTTATTCGTCGACCTCCATTTAAAAAAATTAATATAAAGCTAAAAAAAAACAAGAGGGGTGAAGACCGCAATAACCAGAGCTGTATATCTATATTATATCCTGATCTCCTTCCAGGAAAATCATGAATAAAATGTGAAAGCTGGGATTTAAAGGAGGTGAGATATAAATTGACGCCTGTTCACATTTGGTTCTGTGTTTATATTCTGAAATATTTCATAAATATTTATACTGTGAAATATAAATACAAATGACTCTCTCTCTGTGATGGATACTTAACGGAAGCCGTGGGACCCTGAAGAGTCGAAGCCGACTTCGCAACTGAACAACAACGACAACAATATCATCCGATCGCCAGCCCTAGGCAGGCGAGTCAAGCATTTCTTTTGACTCGCTAAAAGGCCCAGTTGTACTTTTGGGAGTTGTGTCCGTCCATGCCTTGAGAAGCCTGAACATGCAATCTCTGAAGGATAATAACTGGTGTTTATTTTGAAAAGGGGACATTAGCAAGGCAAGCTTCCAGGCATTGTTCCAGAGGTTGGACATCCCCTGTCTGAAATCTCACACGTGCGTTTCTGTTATCATCATTTCTATCCCTCACGTTGCTCGCCGCTTGGACTTTAGGGGCTAATTTAAGAAGTGGAGCGAATGAATCACCTCCAACCCTATACAAATGAAACTGTCTATAATCCCTCATAATGGAGTAAGGAATCTTCTCACATAAATCATCTTCACTGTTTTGAAACAAAATCAATGGTACACCGTTAAGTATTTTCACAATCCAGGCATTATTGGCGTGGATCTTCCTTAAACAGAAACCTAGTTTGATTATCAATAGGTTGTTCTGAAGGGGGAATTCCATGGAAAAGATTGGAAACTTTTCCCCTGGGAGCAAAACGACGTGTACAAATATCCACGTGCATGAGGCACGTCAGTTCAGTAAGGAGGCTTCTGTTACAGAAGGAATGGCGGCGGCAACCCAAAAAGCCAATGCAATCCTAGGTTGCGTTCACAGAGGAGTTAGAATCAAGATCATGTGAAGCTTCGGTAGCACTTCATAAAGCCTTAGTAAGACCACGTTTAGATACTGCATCTGTCAACTAAAAAGAGACTCCTTTGGTCTTTTTAGCCGCCAAAAAAAGGGAGTGGCAGAAAACAAGGCATTCTTGAAATGCCTAGATAATCAACTCAGCAGCCCAAAGTTGTCGGAGCATAAGAAGGTTATTGGAGAGCATGATGGATGACTCTTGGAGACGGATGTGTCCCATTGGAGAAGTCACATCCAGGGGGTGGGGGAAAGACCAGGGTCAAAGGGGGAAATGTATGACGTGATTTAGTACTGGCTGCACCCAGCCATGCACCCCCGTGGCAATTTCTAACAAACCAATTGACTTTTTCTGAGATGCGGCTAGAGACTTTCGCTTTGAACGAGGGTGGATTTGTCGGTGCCCTGACAGCATCTAGTTTTGGTCACCATATTATAGAAAAGATAATAAAGAGACTCCAGAAAGAGTGGAGAAAAGAGCAACAAAGATGATTAGAGAGCTGGAGGCTAAAGCACACGAAGAACCGTTGCAGGAACAGGGTATGTCTAGTTGAATGAAAGGAAGGACCAGGGGTGACATGATGGCAGTGTTCCAATATCTCAGGGGCTGCCCCAAAGAAGAGGGAGTCAAGCTATTCTCCAAAGCACCTGAATGCAGGAGAAGAAGAAACGGGTGGAAACTAATCAAGGAGAGAAGCAACCTAGAACTAAGGAGAAACTAATCAAGGAGAGAAGCAACCTAGAACTAAGGAGAAACTAATCAAGGAGAGAAGCAACTTAGAACTAAAGAGAAATTTCCTAACAGTGAGGACAATTAACCACTGGAACAACTTGCCACCGGAAGTTGTGAATGCTCCAACACTGGAGGTTTCTAAGAAGAGACTGGAGACAGCCATTTGTCTGGAATGGTATAGGGTCTCCTGCTTGAGCAGGGGGTTGGACTAGAAGACCTCCAAGGTCCCTTTCAACTCTAATTCTGGATGGGATGGCTTAATCTCTCTGATTCAAAACCACTTCATGTCGTTTATATGGATATATCAAGACTCTTACGCGAGAGCAGCGGCAGCTGATTTCTAGGCCAAAATAGCTGTGGGTTCCTAAATCAGCCAGCCTGTTTTCCTAACCTAAATTGGTTTTTCCCACAAGAGGAAAGAGTATATATATGTGTGTGCAATGCCTGAACATGAGCCAGGAATGTGTAAACATGGAGACACACAAGAGTTATCAGATTTCAGCGTCCTATCAATTGAACAAATCACTTAATTTGCTGTATCAAATCCTCTATGCAGACGGCTCGCGCTTTGAAATCCGAATACCAGGAAGGAGAATCAATACGCTGTTAAAAAAGATATTGGAGAGGCTGCGTGGTCTAGTGGTTAAGGCTTTGAACCAGGAGCGGCAAGCCCTACTTCTAATTTCTCCCTTAGTCATAGAACCTCACTGTTTTTCAGCCTACCCTACCTCCGGAGTGGCTGTTGAGGGGGAAAAAACAAGAAGGCAGGACCCATTCATTGCTTCGCACTTCTGAATAAAAGGTTGGATATACAGGTAGCCTTCAGCTTGCGATCACAATTGAGCCCATACGTTCTGTGACTAAGTGCCACAGTTCTTCGGTGATCTTTGTTCCATTGTACAACCTTCTTTGCCGTCGCTGTTAAGTGAACCCCCGCTGCTCTTGAGATGGTAACGCGGCTGTTAACAATGACTTTGCTTGTCAGAAGGTTGCAAGAAGTTGCTCACACGAGCCCAGGACACCACAAATGTTGAAATATGAACCCAGTTGCCAAGCATCCAAATTTTGATCATGTGATCATGGAGTCATGCGGTGGTCATAAGTGTGGAAAACTGTCACAAGTCTCTTTTTTTTCAGTCACCAAACAAATGATTGTAAGTCAAGGATTACTTGTACATTTAAGAAGCAACGAACGTCTTTCCTTTACGTTCTGTCAACTAAAAAGATACTCCTTGGGTCTTTTTAGCTGCCAGCAGAAAGGGAGTTGAGGGGGGAAAACAGTGCATTCCTTAAGTGCCTAGATAATCGCCCTGGCAGCCCAAAGTGGTCGGAGCGCAAGAATATTACTGGAGAGCATGATGGATGACTCTTGGCTATGGATGTGTCCCATTGGAGAATATACATCCAGGGTGTGGGGGGGAAGACTTGGGTCAAGGGGGAAATGAATGGTGTATTTTAGCGTCGGCTGCATCCCGCTAACGCCAACGTGGCCACTTCCAATAAACCAATTTTCTTTTCTCTGAGATGCGGCTAGAGACTT